GCATGATGTGTTCTTATTATCCCGCTTGATAAATATGAGACTTATCAGACCAACTCAATGCCCATCAACAGATCTATCGTGGCAGCTTAATCACAGGCATTGTCAAAATATCCATCCAAATCATCATAACATCATATACTCATCCATCTAATTATTAATATGATTAATCCAATTTGAATTCCTTATATATAATTGTGAAATTTAATTTCGAAAACTTTGATACACAATACTTTTCGCAATTATACTTCAAGGAAGGTGAAAAATGAGACAACAAAATTAAAATTAAAATTAAAATTGCTACAATATTTTTCCTCCAAAATTTCCTTCAAAGTAATTGCATTTAATACTTTTACGAGAAAATGCTATAATCTCGTTACGGTACTATTCTGTCGGGTGTTTTAACAGTTAGATCCATATGTAGTTAGATAAGATAGATGATCTAACGGTTAAAACACCCGACAAAATGGTACCGTAACGAGACGGTATAAATTTTTTTAGCAGAGTTAAAAAGGGCATGCAGATGATTTTATAATATTTTTGCGCTGTATAAAAGTTTATAAAGGACAATAATAACTAGGGGCGTGATAGATTGTGATTTCATAGGAGGGGGCCCACATCATTGTGCCGCAGCCTCTTTCAAGGGTCAGATTCCCTGATGATATTGGCCTTTCGGCTCCCTTTGGGTGACTTTTCCAAGTTTTGTGGCAAATTATTTTAAATTGTTTGTTGCGACTCCAACAAAGATTCATGCACTTTCTTCTAATCTTGCAATTTGGTGTGATAGAAAAATTTGATTCACTATAATTGATGAAAATGTAATGATAAAATTCTCATAAATTGGTTAAACCATTAGCAATATTTTGCTTAATTAATTGCTAATTTATTAATAGATTATTTTATTATTGTAACACATAACTTCGTACTTTTACAAATTAAAACTAGACATGGCCAGAGGCCGCACAACAAAGTCAAACTCTTTGACCACGGGTCTGGGATCGGACCAAACTTTAGATGGACTCTTTCAGGATCATTCATTTCATGACCCTGGCCCGACGGGTCGGGCTGGGCTTGTGGCCCGCTTTTGCTCAATTTTTTTAATAATATTCTATATTTGTTTCTCAAAGCATGACGACCCAGCCTGGCCCGGTTAACTGGAGGACATTGATCCGGCACTAGCATAGCTCCGTGCCAGGTCCGAGTCCTTGTTTGTGAGCTCGTAGGCCCGTCGGGCCAGACCGTGACCCGGTTCGTAATTTGGCCATGTCTAATTACAACATATGTTTAAGTTATGAATGATATGTTGTTAACTTTATAATTATAAAATGGCCAATTAAAAACGAGTTTCAACACATATGTAATAAAAAAGTAAATAGAACACAAACATCAACACAAAGATGAAACCAGATTTCTATTAGTAAATAAATAAATTTATTATAAAAAATAATAACTTAGCTGACAATTCTATATTGTCATATAACACATATAACCAAATCACATAAAATTTGTTTTTTATTGTGCAACGAGTACTACGCCTTTTCTCTCAGGATAAGACGACTCAAGGTGTGAAGACTACACTATCTAACACACCCACCTTGACCAAAACCTCAGTTGCCAAGAATGATTAATTTTTCTTAGACTTGTTGAGGATGAAAGAGAATATGTTTATATAAAGTGTTCTTTTCTTTTCTTCTCTTGATGTGTTTATCGGATATAGAGTGTTCTTTTCTTTTCTTCTCTTAATGTGTTCTTCCCTTAAGCTTGCATGCACTATTTATAGTGCTTCTACGACAAGTATGTACTCAATGAAGAGAAGTTCCTTTAATGCCTTCATTAAGGCCAAAGTAATGAAACTTTGAGTTTCATTTTCACTTCTCAACCCGAACAAACATAAGTTCGGTTAAGCTTTCCCCACAATGAATCTGGACATTAGATTTGTAACCTTAAACACATACTTTTATCTAAGGATTCCCACAAAATATATTTTCTCTTTCTACATGCAATTCTTATTACAACATGATGTGTTCTAAAAATATTTTTTACATGAACTTGCATTAATAAATAAAGTTCCAATGTCAAACGAGGGCACAACGAGTGCGGTCCTACACAAATGAAGCGCACCATAAGAAGGTTAGACAATATGAAGCTCAAGTGATATTCCATCTCAAAACCAATTGGTGGAAGGAGGAGTAGCCACTAGGCTTATAAATAGGGATGTAAATGGGTCGGGTTGGGTACGGGTTTTGGCAAACCCGAACCCGACCCGCGTATAATATACCATACCCAAACCCGACCCGTTACCCGACTAGTGATTTTCGAGTTCGTGTTGGGTTTTACCCGGCGGGTTAGTGGGTTTTCGGTGGGTAAACGGGTAACCCGAGTCTTAAATTTAGGTTTTAACCGACCCATCTCGTTTCATATGAAAAAATAAAATAAAATAATTTCATAATTAATTATAATGTAAGAAATAATTTATTAACTAAGTTTGACAATAAAAAACTATAAAAAAATTATATTATTTTTGGAATAAATAATGAGATATGATTATTTATCTAATTTTTTATCGTACAATTAACAAAAAATGATAGTAAAATTATAGAAAATAAAATAAATTTAACCATTAATAAAAATTATAATAGATAATCTAATTTTTAAAAATAACACATGACTAACTTTATATATATTATAAGTTATATATATATATACATGATTCAATGGTTGCGGGTAAATAGGTAGGGTAATCGGGTCGGGTAATGAGTTTGCCTACTATACCCGCACCCGACCCGACCTGGGGTTCGGGTAGCATAATTCTACCCTAACCCGACCCGAAACCCATTCATATCGTGTTTACCCGACCCAAAAATGCGGGTAACCCGCGAGTAACCCGACCCTATGGGTTTTATTGACATCCCTACTTATAAACTAGGCTCATTTACCCTATCAAATCAATGTGGAACAACCCACAAGTGATACTCCAACATCCAACTCGTTTATTTTTTTAATATTGTAAGACACAATTTTTTTTATTTTTTTTATTTTTTAAATTTTATTTTTCGTTGACTTGCATGAGGCAAATATTGCATTTCTTCATTTTTTTGTAGGATAAGTTTTCTTGCTTCTTATGTTTATTTTGTGTGACGTGGAGTTTATTAATAAATGAGTTGGATTATTTTGTAAGTGTTTATTATTTGATTATTGTTTATAATCAATTATTTTGGGTATAAACCTTTCTAGTGAAACAAACAACCAATAAATAAATAAATAAATAAATAAATAAATTCTATGGCTAATTACATCATTTCTCTTCTTTTTTTTCGGTAGTCAGCCACGGTATTCGGAGCTATGCTCCGACTAATACGTTGGTCGACTCGGGTCGACCCGGGTCACACACCTAACAGTAGTGGGTGAGTCTCATAACAAGAGTTTTCTGCATCCACAAGGACTCGAACCCGAAACCTTGCGCTTAAGCGACATCAAGCTGCTTACCACTTGAGCAACCCATGTTGGTCATCATTTCTCTTCTTTTGATTCCAAATGTTCAGGAAAGAACACATTTACAAACGAACCTGATATTTTTCCCTTAGAAGATTAAAGAAAAACAAAGTACCTAAATAATTATTTATTAACCTCGAAACAAAATTAATATGTAAACAAATAAAAACTATATATAGTTTGTCGTGACCAACTTTTGAAATGAAGAATCTATACGCAACGCATGTGATTCAAAATGACAAATTGCAAAAGGGGTGCCCTCACTGGTAAGTTGTAACTCAGTTTTAATTCCAAAAAGAGACTTGTCCCCTTTCCCATATTATTTCGATTAGTGTTTTAAAACGCGTATAGCGTAATGTATCGTATTTTGGCTTTTATACTGAGTAGCGTAATTAACGTTGCGTGTTGTGTAAATTATTTGGGTATATATATATTTGTTTATAGAAATATTACAAATATATTTGCATATAATAAAACTGGATGATTGATTATAAAATTATTATAATATTTGAATGACTTAAAAGATAACATCTAAAAATAATTTATCACAAATATTTAATGTAAATATCATAATATAAATATTTAAATAATAAATCGAATATACTAAAAACTATAAACAAACAACAAAAATATAATGAGGTAACTCATAGTATAATTTTAAGTATATATACATTTTAATTATTATATTTTTATTTAACTACGACTTAATTCTAACCATTAGATATAAAATTTTTATTCTTTATTTAAATATCAAATATCAAAAAATAAAATGACATCACAAAAATGACCGATAAATATTGAACTATTCAACTTAGGACTTTGCATTTTCAAACTTTTAATTTGAAATCATTATCAAAAAATTTGGTTTTTAGTTGTTATTTGCAAATATGACTCTGATCCCGAAAAAAAATATACGAGTTTTTGAATATTTTATTGTTAAATGTCGTTGTAGAAATATAGCGCATGTGCGCACAATAGCGTGAAATAGTGCAAGTAAGAAAGCGTGTCATTTCAACATTTCGCGTTAGCGTTTCCAGAAAAACATCAAATATATAAGGCTATCGCGCGTTTTTTGGAAAAAAAAGTTATCTAGCGAGTTACATAGCGAGTTATTTAAAACAATAATTCCGAAAGAACAGTAATAATCGAGAGAAATAATCATAATAAATCAAACCCACCTTGTGAAAAACAAATTGTCAAATTGCGTTTTGCTTTCCCCGTAGCACTCGGAGTGCTGTTGCCTGTTGCCAGCCGGAAACCAAAATCATATATATAATTTTTTTTTTTTAAAAAAAAAAAATCGAATCATAGTAATATAATATTTCAATTTATTTATTTTTTTTCCCCTTAAAAAAAACATAGAAAATCCTACTACATGTAGGATTCCGTCTATAAATACCTTGGAGCCAACTGCATCTCCTCCGCACAATATCACGAGCGAAGGTAGAGAGAGATAGAGAGAGAAACAGAGCCGGCGAAAGAGACAGAGAGAGAGAGAAAAAGAGCCGACAATGGGCGGTTGGGCAATAGCGGTGCACGGCGGCGCTGGTGTGGATCCGAACCTCCCCAAAGAGCGTCAGGAAGAAGCCAAGCAACTCCTCACTCGCTGCCTCAACATCGGCATCTCCGCCCTTCAATCCTCCCTCTCTGCCATTGACGTCGTCGAGCTCGTCGTACGATTTCTCTCCACCATTTCCCTCATTCAATTCTCCATTATAATTTCTTTATTCTCCAAAAGTTAGAGAAATCCCTTTTCGTTTCCAAACTAAACCTCGAATTTTTATTTTTTTTCTCCTGCATTGCGTAATTTTGGCCATGTTTTTTAATTTCAGTTTGAGCATTTTTAGCATTCATTAAATTTTTTCATCTGTGTGCGAAAAAGGTACGAGAATTAGAAACCGATCCCCTGTTCAATTCGGGACGTGGATCTGCACTCACCGAGAAAGGAACGGTTGAGATGGAGGCGAGCATCATGGATGGCTGCGGCCGGCGATGCGGCGCCGTTTCCGGCATCACCACCGTGAAAAACCCCATCTCCCTCGCCCGACTCGTCATGGACAAATCCCCTCATTCCTACCTAGCTTTCTCTGGCGCCGAGGAATTTGCGAAAAAACAGGTCCCTCTCTCACACAACAGTTAATTTGTTTTCAATTAGAATGCAAAATATTTGGTCACTCACTCATCCTCATTCTTTTATATAGGGTGTAGAGATGGTTGACAATGATTACTTCATCACTGAGGACAACGTCGGCATGCTGAAATTAGCCAAAGAAGCCAACTCCATTCTCGTAAGCACCGATTTCGAGATATTAATTATCTGAGTCTAAGAATGATAATGAGAATCATCAGTTGTGATGTACAATTTCGTGTGCAACAGTTTGACTACAGGATCCCACTGGAGTCTTGCGCGTCTTTGGTGGAGAAGCCTATCCAGATGAACGGGCTCCCAATCAGCGTGTACGCGCCGGAGACAGTGGGGTGCGTGGTGGTGGACAGCCAAGGGCGGTGTGCGGCTGCCACCTCGACAGGCGGACTGATGAACAAGATGATGGGCAGGATAGGGGACTCGCCCCTGATAGGGTCAGGTACGTATGCAGGTAACTTGTGCGGGGTGTCGTGCACTGGGGAAGGTGAGGCTATCATCCGTGGGACTCTTGCCCGTGATGTGGCGGCCGTGATGGAGTACAAAGGGCTCAGCCTCCAGGAGGCGGTGGACTATGTGATCCAGACCCGTTTGGACGATGGGGGAAAGGCCGGCATGATTGCGGTGTCGAATACGGGTGAGGTGGCCTACGGGTTTAATTCGGTGGGGATGTTCAGGGGCTGTGCTACTGAGGATGGGTTCATGGAGGTTGGTATTTGGGACTAGTTTACTGCATTTGCTTTTCGGTTGGTATGGTACTAGGAAAGGGATGTGCACGTGGTGGTGTGCCGGTTAACACTATGTTGTGTTAAACGTTGTGTTTAGGGCAATAATAAATTTTATTATTGGTGTGCTGGTTAACACTATGTTGTGTTAACTTTGTGTTTATTGCAATAATAAATTTTATTATTAGTGTGTAAGATCCTATCTCCTTTCTTCTTTCTTTGATCGGGTTTGTGTTTTAACATTTTTTTTTTTGTTTTTTTTTTTTAAGTTTGAACGATAAACTTAACATTAAACTCAAACAATGTATAAGGTATAGGGAGATGCTACGGTCCTGTTACGAGATTATTTCGTCGGAGAAACAATTAAATCAATTATTTCTCGACGGTTACATGATGATCTAACGGTTGCAAACCCCAACGAAATGGTTCCACAACGAAAGAGTAGCATTTCCCCAAAGTATAATCAACTGATTACAAATGACATACTCCAACTAGACTAGTTAAACAAGTACACACGAGAAGTGAAACGATCACTCCTCAAGCGGCACACCATGCCACAACAAACAACAAACATCGAACCAACACAAGCTTCAAGTAGCTATATGCTTGGGTACAAGTTATCCTAAATTAGTTTTAGTCATTCAATTTTTTAACTCAAATCTAACTCAACTTCAATTCAATCAACCTATCCTCAATATTATTAATATAATTTGAATAATATCAATCAATTATTTTTACACGTTACATCAATTTTACTTTACTATTCATCCACTCACATAATTTAACTAACCATCACTTCACATCATCTACCTACTTTTACATTAAATCAACTTTAATTATTTTATTTTAAATATTATTTTAATATAAATTCAAAATCTCACAAACAACTAATCGTATCACAATTTTCTAAGATACTCTGATTGCAAATATCTGCCTCGCCTCTCTCTCCTGGTCCTGTCCATACCCTCAATACCCTGCCCTTTTATTATATATATATTTTTTTATTTTTTATCATATAATTACTCTAATGCATAATGCATTTTCAGTTCATCATAATGTATATTTATTATATTTAAATTAATTATATACATAATGCATAATTAGTTTATTCATTATTCAGATTTATTTTATACGAAATGCATATTTGGACCATCAAAGAGCATATTTAGGTTATACATGATGCATATTTAGTTATGTATAGTTAGTTGATATTATTGTTGCATATTTATTATATAACTAATTTGATATGATATATTCTTTTTTATATATAATTACTGTAATACATAATGCATTTTTTGTTCATTCATTATGCATATTTAGATATTAAGAAATGTATATTTAGTTCGTGCATATTTATTATATTTAAATTAAATTAATTATATACATACGAATATGTAATTCATTCAATATGCATTTCATACAAAATGAAGATTTAGATAATCAAAGTGCATATTTAGTTCAAGTGAAGTCCAATCATATCTATTTATTTGTGTAGATCAATGACTCATATTAATCAATTGAATTCACATTTTATTTATATAATAATAAATAATAATATTAAATTCAAATTAATTATATAAAATAAACATTTAATTATATATTTTTGCTGCATGTTTAGTTCATGCAAAATGTGCAGCTAGTTCATACGTAATGCATATTTTGTTCAAAATCAGTAACAATGCATACTTAAATGACATTATTGTTGCACATTTAATTCATAAAGATTGTACATTCTTCAACAATAAATCTACATAGTACAACACTCATGTATTACACGGTGCTTGTTAAAAAATTATTCTTAAATTTTAAAACTAATGAGAAAAATTATTTTAAATTTTATTTACTTTTCTACAAAAAAAAAAAAATATTACTATATATTTTAGAACGACACTTGTTATTTGTGCAACTTACATGTGTTATATTATAGTAATTTTATAATTTATATCATATAACTACTTGAAATATAAATATATCAATTAACAAAAGAATTTATTTTTCTAATTAATATTAAAAAAATATTATTATTGTTAAAAAGATATATATATATATATATATATATATATTTATTTTTTATACATACAATATGGATGTTAAATCGAAGTTCATCAAGAGATGATTAGTTTGATATATTATATATATAAAACTGATAAAAATACAAAAATTATTAACTTTTTAAATACATTTATAATTCAATGATTATAATTAGAAATGATATTAAAATGCAATTAATACATGTACACTACAAAAAAAATGTTATATACCAATGGAAAATCCTATGATAATATATTCCAATGTAAATTCCAACGGATATTCCAATGGTATATCTTCCGTTGGAATGGTTCCAACGGAAATATTCCGTTGAAATGTGTTTTTCATTGGAATTTTAGATGGAATTTGGTGATTCCAACAGCTATATTTTCAACGGCTTTTTACCGTAGGAATTTCCGTTGGAATATGCGATTTCCGTTGGAATTTTTATTTCCACCCCCGTCGGAAAATCTACCGTTGGAATCATCAAAATCCAACGGAAATTCCAATGGAAAACTCATTCCAACAGAATATTTCTGTTGGAATTTCCGTTGGAATCCATTGAAAAATTCCAACGGAAATAATAGTATTGAAATATCCATTGGAACTGTTAGAACTGCCGTTGGAATCATTCTATTATAATACATTTCCGTTGAAATTTCATCATTTTCTTGTAGTGGTAAGATGACCACAAATAATTAACATATTTATAAATAATCCGGACCAAATTATTTTTGGATCAGAAGTAAATTAAAATCAACCCAAACCTAATAAGGAAGCATATAATTTTGTCACATGGGATCCCGAAGCATGCGAGCATGCCACTTAGGCTCAACACGTTTTGAATTAATATATAGAGGAGATTATATATAATCGATCAGCACGCGTCAGATACACCTGTTGAGTTCATGCAACTCTAAATCTTGTTATGCCAAGAACTACATATCTGGACAACCTTCACATATATTAGTGAACCTGGTCAAAAATTCTTGTTAATGCCAAGAATTACATCTCATCGGCTATGAACGACCAACTAATTCGACAACCACATGCTGTACGAAAATGTTGTTTTTTCATTTCCATTGGGATTACCTCAGGCGACATAACCTAGTTTTCTTCTTCCTTAACAGCAGTGAACGAACCACCCCAATTCTGGTAGTTTGTAATAAAAAATGCACTTCGGTTGATCATGAGAAACCTGTACGATAACAATTTCCACTTTATAAGAGCAAACAAATATTTGTAATCAGTAAAACGAAAATGAACAAAGGTGGATTATGGAAACTACTTGAGGAAGTCCATCAATATTTGTTGCAGATCTTGAAATGTCTCCATCTCGATATACACGGACGACAGCATCTCCGGCAATTTAACTAATTACATAAAAAGGTACATAAATAAATAAACCAACCTTTACATGCTAATATAACAAACCAGAGAGTTTGTATTTGACATCAAAATGACAAATAACAACATTATCCAATTCATTGTTCACAGTAGAAAATAATCATAACAATTAAGTAATGTCGCCCAACTGAAACAAACTGATTGCTTGTGGATAAGACGTAACATTAAAGGACATATTTTCTAAATTTTTTGTTATATGTTGTAACCAGATTAAAGAATATTTATCTAGCTTATTACTTCTTAAATTTTCTAAATATAACATATATATCCCATGGATGGATGCAGATGACCACAACCAAAAGAGCCTTAAAAACTAAGTATTCTAGAAATAGATCACCATACCAAAGAGCCTTAAAAAATGTTCGGCTCCATATATGCACGAAGGAGGAGTGTTATCAGCAATCACTTGCTTGTACTGCTCACGTTCTTCTTTGTACAAGAGCATTGCCGGCAAAGCTTTGTCGAAGTAACATCTGAGTCCGCTTATAATCTCTACAACCGTCTCAACAATTCTTCAACAACATGAAAAAAAAAAATGTAGAATTGATTAAGAGCGTGCTCAAAAGTTAAAACATCTTATTCATACACAGCAATGACATTATGACATTGTTAGTAGTTTATAAGTTCAAAATATGTTTAAAGAACTTACAGTTTTTCTAATATTTTGTTCCAATATAATGTACTCTCTTTTCAGTTTTTTGCAATTAAATAATACAAACATTAGCACATAATTATTGACTATTCCCAAACTGTTTAGATGGATTAAATGGAAGTGGGAAGGCAAATGGTTTTGTGTTCTGATAAGAAGATAAAACCACCTCACTGCATAATACTAAAGCTTAAGGGGGTGATTGGATATGAATTCAACTAGTAAAACATTAGTTTTTTTTTTTTTAACTATAGTTAAGTTTGAAAAAAAGTAGTATGGTTAGTTGTTTGTAGATATATTAAAATAATATTTAAATTAAAATAATTAAAGTTGATTTGATGTAAAAGTAGGAAAAAATGATTGGAAGTGATGGTTAGTTAAAATTATGTGAGTGAATGAATAGTGAATTAAAGTTGATGTGATGTGTAATAATGATTGGTAGATATTATTTAATTATATTGATAATATTAGAGATAGTGGAGTTGAGTTAAATTTGAGTTTGAAGTGAGATATTTACTGTCAATTCATAAACAATATCACGCCCTAAAGCAGCCAAAAATTCCATTCGACATGACATGAAAGATATATAACTACATAAATTAGACTTACACCCCATCTTTCTTCACCCGGTAATCAGAATACTTGTTCAATATCTCACAAACGCTTGGAGAACGTGGAAGCTTGACTAACTGCAATAAACAATTTAAATTATTAGTAGCAAATTTTTTTAATATGCCCAGAATGGTAAAGTGTAAAACGTTTCTTGACAGAAAATGACAACAAGAATAACTAATGAATAACAAAAGTTTCGATTGCAGCAAAGGTTAACCTGGCCCAGATGAGTTATACATTCTTGATCATTAACCAGTTGTTTCTTCAAGGCAGACGGAATTTGGATGCTCATAAGCTTTTCCCATGGTGCAACACTCTCCTCCTAAAAGAAAAAAATATCAAATTTTAAGCCAGTTGTTAACATGGGTAAATAAAAAAGGTGTTCAGTCGTGTACAGAATTAATTCCAGCTAGAATTAGAGTTTGCAACAAAAAACTATGCACCTGCACGTACCCAATGTGAATCTTCGGATATCTTAACAGTATGGTTAGAAGAAACTGTTCCACTACAAAAACTATGCTTGTTGTTTGATTTAATTAGCTAATATTAAAAACAACCGGAGAACACCTAGAAAGAGTTGCACTCACATTTTAAAAGAACAACTAGAGAGACGTACCTTCACATCGATATCACATTCCCGTTCCTTGCCACTCAAGCCTGCGATGAAATACGAAAAGTAAAATCGATAATTATCAGTATATGAAAAAAAATGTAGCCCCTTAATTTCTTTAGAAGAAAAAATGTGGACCACCAAGAACGTGATAATATTAAACCGGGAGGTTGTGAAATCTGACCCACAGAGCTTTTAGTGTTATCTTGTGATTGACGACCAGGCTTTGAACTTCTCTCAGTTGCATGCTCATTATTAAGCTGATCTTGCTTCAGAACATTCTCCTCAGTGTATTTCAAAAGGCGATCAACACTTACCCATTCATCCCAACTTTTGGCGACACAAAAATAACATCACATATAATCATCAATAGATTAAAATAACATCACATATAATCATCAATAGATTCAAAAAACAAAAATGAAAAAGATAAGAAGGGGAAAAAAAAAAGAAAATAAAAAAACATAAAAACAAATGGTCGGTAACATTCAACTGCTCCAACCAAAAGAGAAATTAAAAAACGCCGGATGATTTCAATGTTCGACAAATTGATACTTTTGCTCTATATAAATGCAATGCCAATGAACTAAAACATGGAAGAACAACTCATTAAAAGGACTACTTTTGCTCTATGTTATCAAAATGCACAAGGCAAGATGAAGCGAACTCACGATTTCTTCCACCCCTGAAAAAAACAGAGAAAAAAAACCTCATCACAATACATATTTTGAGCTAACGATAAATCATCAACAAGTTAAATAATATGCCAACACATACTGATGCTGAAACAACAATCGAACTGGGTAGCATTTGAAATTTACAAACATTATACTTACGACATAATGAATATAAAACTTCAATTCTTCCACACAGTGTTCAACCTTTTGCACCTTTCCACACACAACACGAAAGACGGCATCAGACGAAAGAATGAATTACAAAAATTAATAGCTTGAACTTAGAGAGGCAAATTCAATAAGAAAAATAGCACACTAGAAAATATCACCATCCCTTTGGGCAGAATGCTAAATAGACTCCCTTTTCTGGTTAATTGGGAGTATGAAAGTTACAAACTTTATGGCTAATTACTAACAGATTTATCAATAATTGCCTACAAAGTACAAATTGAAGCAACTGGGAAAAGCATCGGAGAGTATGAAGGGACAATCCCTATCAAACAGTGAACAAAGAAAGGGAACTTCCAGGCTCAATTCATAACAGAACACTCAATTGCTTAACAAAAAAAAAAAAAAATT